AAAATACGTCAATGCAGTTATTTAATTATTATTACCATACTGCTCATTTAGTATTACTTAGTACTACTTTAAAGGTGAAATTGTAAAAGGAAGATCTGCCTATTTTAACTATTTTTTTTTTTATCATAACTGCATCTAAAATAGTACCATAGAGTAACAACTATGTTTTTTGCTCAAACATGAGAATTCAAGAATAGTTCAGAAGGAAGACAGGCAGCCCTTAAGAAAGAAGTATGAAATAAAAAAAATTGCCAACCTGAAGATCCTGCATGTTCAGACATGTTCCTTTCATCATCTTCAACACAGCTTCCTCCTGAGAAGGAACACTTCTCATGATGTTGTTTCATTTGAGCGACTGGCCTTGCTTTTCTTTGTTGCACTGTTTGCATTTTGCACACATGCCTGTCTTACCCACAGATAGAGGAACTTCATTAAAATATTCCCAAACTGGGTGTCTCTTATGGATTGCTGCCATTATCAGTCTTCCCTTCTAGTGAGAGAACGGTATGGTAGATCTCAAATCAATGAAGGCTACGCTCAGAAAGACCTCAAGACTTCTGGAATATGCTGCTCAAACAGTTTCACTTTTGTTTCTACTGCCTGTCCCTCCTTTCTCACATTTATCTCCAGACTTCTTCTTGTCCAGATCTATTTGGCCCCCAACAATCAAAAAGTTCAATGAGTAGAAGAAACTTTCTACCTTTAGAGAGAGGTAAAGGATTAACTCTGTGTATACAAATTTGCAGAGGGACAATAGGGTTGAGGTCTGTTATTTTTCACCTCTATATAGTTAGTTAGTTAAAATATATTTTTTGCTGTTAACAAGCATGTTATCTCTGGAGACACAAATCCACAGTTTGAGAACTGCAAAACTAAGCATCTCTGATGGTATCTTCTAGACTGAGCACTGAGTCCCATTGGGCAAATAGAAAGATTAATCTATACTGAAGCCCCTGGAACCCCATAAATTTGGGTCCCTAATCCATGAATTATTGGAACTCATTTACACAACTTTTCTTAAACATGACATGACTATATTGTCTCCTATTACAGAATTAGAATTTATAATCCCTATTCCATGATGAGATAACTTTGAGCTATAATGTATCTTAATTAAAACTATCTTTAGAGAAGTTTTTTCCTCAAAAAGCATTTTATCAAAAAAAATCCAGTTTAAATAAAAAAATTTTTTTTAATCTTTTTTTTTTAATCCACTCTGTTTCCCCTCATAAATATCAATCTTAGTATAGTGGTTTGTTGGTACCTTTTTGAGCGCAAAGGAGGAAGATATACTTGTTTAACTTTTAAAGGGTACTTTTCTTCATATCTAGGAGTATCAACACATTCATTACCTTTTTGTTTTTTATGAACTCTGAAAGTAGTGGAAAACAAGGTTTAAAAACAATAAACAAACAAGTGTCTGTTTTCACCAAATTCTAGGGATACAGCAGGTCAGGAGAGATTCCGCACAATCACAACAGCATACTACAGAGGAGCCATGGTGAGTGAGTGTTCAGGTGTGACTAAAATCATAATTAGTTTGCTTCCTTAGGTTTAAAGGGTTCAAGCTGTCTTGCTAGAGAGAAATTATAACTCAAAGGTAGAGGATAACAGATTATTTCAGGGCCGTTGCTGTTTTTGTGAAGTCTTGTTCTCCAGTTTTCTGCCTCTCCATCTTGTGTGTGTGTATATATAGTCACAATCTCTCTGTGGACATAAGAGGCTTAATTCACCAAGTTTTGTTTTAAGAAACTTGTTTTTGTACAGTCACAACACTTTCCTTGTTTCAAGTGATAGTAGGATAGGTGATATGTCTGCTAATATTAAAAGTGAATTTGACTGAGTTGGTTTTCCTGCTGTGTCCCCTTCAGCAGCTCTAGAATGCAGCAGCTAGATTCAGACATGATCAAGTATATAAACTGTCTCTAGTGCAACTGCTACTGATTCTAGTTAGTCAACTATTTGACTTCTGAATAGTTCCTTACATTTTGACACCCCATATGTGACAGAGCTATTCACAACATACCATGACTGAGACATTCTAGGTCAGGCATTAATGCAGTTGTTGTCTGGTTTTACTTACTTTAGTGCCACCATATTCTAGGGAGATGCATGTGCATACACACAGCTATGGAAGAGCAGACTTGCTTTGACAGCATTCAGCATCAGCCTTGCTGTAAAACTCTATTCATTTGTTAAGTAGAGCTACTTGCCCCAGACAAGCAGAATCTTACAAAAGCTGTTCCTAGGCCCTTTGAGAGGTGGGGTGATGCATAATGAACACTGAAATACTTGTTGTAAACATGGCTTACTTAAGACAAACAGTATATCAGGTCATGATTACTTTATGGTGATCACAGTTTTTCTTTCTAGTAAGACCCACTGCTGGCTGCCTTTTAGTTATAGAATTTACAAATTCTTGCTGATCATAGTTTAGCTAGTTTTAACTTAATATTAAGAGTATAATTATGCTATGCTTAAAAAAAATAGGTGACAATTAATGGATATATATTGGGTCAAGACCATTCAAAATGTATTCTAAGTGAGATCATATAAAATCTTCAGAAAAGTCTGTTAATTATAAAGGTACATGTGGCTAATTTACATTTTAGGAGTTTTAACCACAAACAAGCAGTACATCAAATCTAAACTAATATTAAGATTAGCTTTTTTTTTGTTTGTTTTCGTTTTCACCCTCAGGGAATTATGCTGGTATATGACATCACAAATGAGAAGTCTTTTGACAACATTAAAAACTGGATAAGGAACATAGAAGAGGTAGGTGATTAGGAAAATAAGCTGCATCTGTTGATATTCTCAAACTTCTCCAAAACAATGACCAACATCCGAGCAATTTTATTTTCTTTCAACAGAGGGGTGTATATACGTAGCCAAGTTAAAATGGATGTAAACCAGAGCACAGTGTGGCTTTCTGGCTTACCATGGGCTGGAAAGAGGAAAGTTAGAGACTTTCATGCAAAAATGATCATGCAGAGCAAGGATTTCAAAACCGCTTGCTTCCAGTGAGTGCCTTTAGCTTAACTTTTGCTTTGAAGGGACAAGAAGGAGAACTATTTTCAGTATCTCTTGGTGAAGTTGAGAAATGCTTAACACTACCAGAGTAGTGTTAAGTGTAGATTTACCTGCCTGTGTACATTCAATACCTGGTTGTCCAAATTTTGCCTTTGGTCTTATGTTAAACTTCAGTTGTGTGTTCGTTTCCCCTCACCTTGTAAGTTATTTGAATAGCAAATACATTGACCATACTTGAATCTGAAGGCAGTGCTAGACAAATTGGGAATAGGAAGCCTTAAGCATTAGATCCAAGCAAAATAAGGCTTAATCTGGTGGTGACAGAAATTTATTCTACTTGATCTCAAAAAAAGAAACCTGCCACCATTCTCTGGTTACATTTGACTATTGGACTTTGCAAAGAAGGGACTATCCCAAGGAGACTTCTTATACCATCACATCAGACTGGTCACTGGTGACAAGGGTTAGAAAAGCCTTCCACTCTAGTCAAGAATGGAAGCACATTGATTTAATCAGGCAATTTGTGACCACTTTGCAAGCCAGTAAACATCAGTCTTGTTTTAATAACTTCATTTTGAAGTCAAGCAAGGCATCTACGTGCTGATACCCTATACATTCAAAATTAAGAAAAATACTTTATTAAGCCTTTCAAAAAGTTTGCTTCTCTTTCCCCACTGATGCCCTTATTAGGGTTTTATTAGAGCGAGTTCTTATTGTCTAATGTATAGATCTGTTTCTGATAGGTAAAGATTTATCTTTAACTCTACGCTGCTTTTACAAGAGCTTATTTTTCCCTTCAGCATGCCTCTTCAGATGTGGAAAGAATGATTTTGGGTAATAAATGTGATATGAATGAAAAGAGACAGGTCTCAAAAGAAAAAGGAGAGAAGGTAAATTTTTGGACTACTAAATTCTTTAGTAAAGGTATAATATTTTCTCTGATCTACTGTTCCTAATGATGCTTGTTACTCTGTGACGTTGTGCAGTCTGTATGGTTTTATAAAAACATAAGTGAATATAATGTAACTGGAATATGCTTCATGCAAAAGGTCTCTTGTAAGGTATCATTACAAAGCTTATAGTCTACTGAGTGTTATCATCCTATTTGTATAAATGTACCACTCTTGTATCTAAAACTAGAAATATGAAATATAACTCTGAGGGCCTATTGTAATTATGCAAAGTGTGGGCCATTAATGGTGGTTTGAAATCTTGATGACTCCCATTGTCTGCAGATGGCTGTGTTTACCTGTGAGTCTTCCTGTATATGTGTGTGCTGGCAAGTGGGTAATGAAGTCTTGCAGTGACATGTGATCATGTCACCTGAACTGGAATCCATCTTTAACCTGGTGCTTTTCCAGTGGGGGGGGAACCCAGAGGGATAAAGGCCTTGGCTACACTTGTAGATGTACAGCGCTGTGAGTTAAACCTGACTTCGTGCAGCTGAGTAGGGAAAGCGCTGCAGTCTGTCCACACTGACAGCTGCCCAGCACACTGTTGTGGCCACATTTGCAGCAATTGCAGCGCTATTGGGAGCGGTACATTATGAGCAGCTATCCCACAGAGCACCTTTTCCCATTCTGGCACCGTGGGTTGTGGGAAGGGGGCGTGGGTGCGGGGAATTCTGGGTCCTGTCCCAATGCCCCGTGATGCATCGCTTCGCATCCCAGAAATCCCTTTGTTTCCGTCCACCTTTGGCGCTATCTTTCAACGGTTTCTGTGCAGCGCGATCTGTCTGCGGGAAATGGAGTCCGAACTGCTGAGGCGTATGCTAACGAGTCTCACCAGCACATCACGTTTGGCTGTCGAACTATTCCTTAAGATCCAAAGTGACAGTGAGAGTGAGGGTGAGGAGTCCGACGATGCTATCGAGCCGCGTAACGCGTACGACCCGAAATTGCTTGTGGCATTCACGGACATGCTCAGCACCGTGGAATGCCGCTTTTGGGCTCGGGAAACAAGCACCGAGTGGTGGGATCACATCGTCATGGAAGTCTGGGATGATGAGCAGAGGCTGCAGAACTTTCGGATGAGAAAAGCCACTTTCATGGGACTGTGTGAGGAGCTTGCCCCCACCCTGCGGCGCAAGGACACGAGATTGAAAGCTGCCCTGCCAGTGGAGAAGCGGGTGGCTATTGCAATCTGGAAGCTGGCAACTCCAGATAGCTACCGGTTGGTCGCAAACCAGTTTGGAGTGGGAAAGTCGACGGTTGGAATCGTGTTGATGCAAGTTTGCAAGGCCATTAATCGCATCCTACTCAGAAGAACCGTGACTCTGGGTAACGTGCAGGAAATAGTGGATGGCTTTGCACAAATGGGGTTCCCTAACTGGAGGGGCGATAGATGGGATGCACATTCCTATTCTGGCACCACCCCACCTAGGATCAGAGTACGTTATTCGGAAGGGGTATTTCTCTATGGTTCTCCAGGGGAGTGTGGATCACCGTGGGCGTTTCATTGACATTAACACAGGCTGGCCCGGAAAGGTGCATGACACACGCATCTTTCGGAACACTTGGCTGTTCAGGAAGATGCAGGCCGGGACTTTTTTCCCCAGAGTGGAAGATCACAGTAGGGGAAGTTGAAATGCCCATTGTGATCCTTGGAGATCCTGCTTACCCATTAATGCCATGGCTCATGAAACCCTACACAGGGAGCCTTGACAGCAGCAAGGACATGTGACTTGCCCAGGTGACTCCAACACTCCATTTTGTAGCTGGACTTTGCATAGGAGAGAGGAGGGGATCTCCACCCACAAGAGAGAGTCTATTTAAGGCAGGGGAGACCCCTCCATTTGGTCTTCAGCTGGCTAAAGAGAGCCTCTCCACCCCCAAAGATACCTGAAAGAAACTGGAACAAAGGACAGCGACTGCAAGGGGTGAGAGTGATTGCTGGACCCAGACTAACAGATTAGTCTGTAAAAGGAAGCATTCTGGAACTGGTGAGGATCTTATCTGTATTCAGTTTGATTAGACAAAGATTTGCGCATTTTATTTTATCTTGCTTGCTGACTTACTTTGTTCTGTCTGTTACTACTTGGAACCACTTAAATCCTACTTTCTGTATTTAATAAAATCACTTTTTATTTAGTAATTTACTCAGAGTATGTATTAATACCTGGGGGAGCAAACAACTGTGCATATCTGTCTATCAGTGTTATAGAGGGTGAACAATTTATGAGTTTGCCCTGCATATTGTTGGAGCAGATGGGAGTGTCTGACTCAGCAAGACAGGGTGCTGGAGTCCTGAGCTGGCAGGGAAAACAGAAGCAGGGGTAGTCTTTGCACATTAGGTGGCAGCTCCCAAGGGGGTTTCTGTGATCCAACCCGTCACACTCTCCTTTTAGCATCACCAAACAAAATAATGGGTCTTGAACTCCTTTATGCTTTAGAACCTTCTACACATCCTAGGATGTCAACCTTTTTTTAAGATGGTACTTAATATATGGACTCCAATTGAGCTTCAGTACTCGTCTCAAGTGAGATGTTCTAAATGTTGGCCTTCCCCATGATAACACAATTCTTCCCTTTGAGGGAACCTGAAAGGGCTGATAATCAGGATGTCATTTAAGTGCATTGTGGCTGATTATTCTCTGAATCACTCTTTTTTTGCAATGGTGAATTATGAATATGTTAAAGTAGCCATATTAACGGTAAAGTTAGTTGTTTTGACGTTCTGGGACACTTTTTTTCTAAGGATCCTGAAGTAAGGCTGCACACATGAAATTATAGTTTACACAATCCAAGTATTATGATACTGGCAAGCGGGTCACTGATAGGTTTCTCTACACCTGCATACGAATGTCTTGGACTACTATTAAGACTTTTTTTCTCTTAATTAAACTTTTGGTATCCATCGGAAAAGTCCTATTTAACTTGAGTGATTTCCATACAATAATTCAAAAAAGATACAGAATAGACGAGATTTACATCCGGATCTGCCTCTAGGAGTATTCTGTGGTGGGGATACAATTCAGTGCAGCTACATCAGTTTACACCCACAGAGGGTCTGGTCCACCATGTTCAGAAAACCCTGAAGCTATTCTCTCAATTTCTGTAGGAGCTATTCAAACTTCTATAGCAACTGTTGATTTAGTCCTTCATTAAATGCTATAACTGCTCTTCAGTAAAAGGGTAATGTTAACACTTTTCCAGGACAAAGAAAGTAAATTTGGGATCATGATATAAACTTGGTTAAACCCTTAATGGAGACACTGCTCCATTATTAGCTGACCTAAAAATGTCTTGTCACTTTGCAAATTTAATTTATAAACACCAAAACTTTTTAAAACCTGTCTTCCAGTTAGCAATAGATTATGGAATCAAGTTTCTGGAGACAAGTGCAAAATCCAGCATAAATGTGGAAGAGGTAAGATTGGACTTCCATTTTTTTGTTGTCTTAAAACTTAAATACTGTTACATAATGTTGCTTGCAATGTGATTTCTAACTATTAGCTTTTCTGACCTGATGCATAATGTGGTATTGACCACTTCGCTCCTGTGTCTTCATGTGCTGTCAAATTTGCTTTATTTGAGTATGTCTTTGTAGCATCCAAAACACCAGATGTCTTCTGGTAATATTTCTACGTTTGTAGATGGGTGTTAATAGTGACTTTTTACTAATGTTGCAGATAGTATAGTCATACACTTACTAGTAACTAAAAGGTGTCTAGATACTTACTTTGTTTTTGGAACAGACTTTTATGTTTATACAGTGTATAAACTGGACTAGGGTACAGTAGGGTCCTGGACTCTTGGTGCTACCAGAGTACACTAGTATTTTCTCTTTTTCCTAGAGATAGATTTCATATTACTATTGGATATACGCCGTACATATGCAACTTCTCCCTGTCATTTGCCAAGAGGACCAAATATATCTTGGCTAGCAGATGGTCTGCTCACTAAGTAGTGAAGAGTAGCTCAAAGTAAGTCAGGCTGTCATATAGCTTCACTTGCTATAATTTTTTCCTACTTTTAAAATTATGATTGCCATCCTGTAGGACAACTATATATTTTGCTGCAAATAGAGTTATGAGCTGAACTCACTGAGTGGACCACACCAGCACTGATATCCTCTTCCAATAAAGGTCTGAGGAAAGGAAATGAAGCTTGAGTCTGTCAATGCTGAATTGCTGGAGAATCCCACACTATAGTGTTTATACATAACTTATTTTGTCTGGGTATCTTAAAATGACCTAAAAGAGGAAAATTAGTAAGGACTCCAAGAGCAGTTACTTTGGTGCTTTCTTTAGGGAGGATTAAGCTATCAGTTCATTCAAGATGTCTAGTCATTAACAGATCTGTACATTTAAGCCATCAGGCATGACATATAGCAATCTTTTTAGAGTGTTTTTTAAAATTAATATTGGTTGAAGGTTAAAAAATAGCATAAGAGGCAGGACAGCTGATAAATGCTCTCTTCTGGAGGCCACTGTGTTCTAAAAGCTTTCCAAAGTATATGAAAAGGGAGGGTACATTTTTTTATTTAAAAAAAAAAAGGCTTCAATAAGCATTGAGTTCACAATTGTGGAAATTAACATGTGCATTTTAAAAAATAGCTCAACTGATATACGATACCACTAAAGTAAGAAATCTGTGATAATGTGTGTGTATATATAGTTTATAGCTAGAATGGATTTCTGTTTTCATTGTCCTGCATTGGGGATAGTGTTTGACCTATTTAAGGTTATCACTATACCAGTGCTTTTCTGTTTGTAATGGTCTGCAGAATTGCAAGAATAAAAGTAACATTAATATTAATAGTGGATAATAAGAAGTGGACTTTAGATAAAAGCATATCCCTTATTCCAGTTGTTCACCCACTGTGGTGGCTTTTTTGGGGGGGAGGGGGCTGCTTAATTGTCAGGAGCATCCTGCAATTTTATCATTATTCCTACCCTGCATAATTAAATGCAGGGAATACGTTGGCACCAAGAGCCAGAGCTCCAAGCTAGCTGCCTGAGTAACTTTTAGAATTTTCATGTTTTCCTCTCATCCTTATTACATAGCTGGCCTAGACATGTCAGACTCAAATGTAATGTGTAAATCTTGAATCTTATTTCCAACCACTTAACTTCTAGAAGTCAGTACTTAATTCTGTTAATAAGTGAATCATGTATGGAACTCAGTTTGTGGTGTTGTCTTTTTTTTCTCCTTTATAAATGTATGCTTTCACTCACTCCCATTCCTTCCCTTGAGAACCTTGTCTCCAATTCTAAGCCCTCCCCTGAAATTCCACTTTCCTTTTGGTCCCTGAGAATTCAAGTTCTCTCAATCAAGGATTTCTGTTGCCTTAAAAAATAGACTCTGACCATCACTCAACTTGTATCCGTGTCTGATTAGCCCAACTGTCAAACATAGCGTGGCACAAACAAGCCAAAGTGGTTTTTGGCTGTGGGCTCAGGAGCTGGGTTGGCTGGGAACCCATGCGCAAAGCATTGGCAGGGACAAAAGGAAATGGAGCTTGGAATTTTCTGTTACAATCTAACGTTTGAGCTTTTCCACCTTGAATGGTGCTCCTGAAAGGCTAGATTCTAACCCCAGCACACAACTTGATACTGTGACACATGCTGCATGTTTGAATTTGGACTCTGGCCCTGAGTCTTTGAAAAGCAGTGTAATGTACAGCAGTGATCTTCCTCAGCAGAAGAGCTGCTCAACAGCAGAAGATGAGGCGAAGGATGCTGACCTAAACACCAGATTATAAAACATGACTATTGCCAAATGAGAGAGTATCCATTGCACACTTAGTGCCTTTGATATATTTTTTAATATTGCATATTTTGTAGACCATTGTTACTAAACATGTTAGACCATTCAATCTAGTTTGTCTCTAATGTTCCCTTCTCCTTGGTTTCAGGCATTCTTCACACTTGCACGGGATATAATGACAAAACTCAACAGAAAAATGGTTTGTACCTTTTACTTTTCAATACATTAACTTTTATGCATGGTGCAGGCTGTTACAAGGACAGTGTTAAAACACTTCAGTTTTATACTTCTAGGAAAACCCACTGTTTTTACGGTACTCTAACCAGCAGCTTTGTGACTGGCAAAAGAAGCCGTCTCTGCATAGACTTGTGATTACAAGTGAAGGCAGGCAATGCTGCTCTTACTGTTCAGCACTTGTGATTAAATTCTCTTCAAAACTATGTAGAGAACATCAAAGTTGCACAGAAACTTTCTGTAAATGAGAAATGCCAGAGTTAAGGTTCCATTCTGCCCCCTTGTGTGCATTCATTATAGCAGTCTTTATTGTATGATCACACATTTCTCAGATACAACTCATTTGCTCTTTCTGTTGCTAAGACTAGGGGACTATGCAAAATATATTACGTTGTACAAGTTTCTACTATGGTGCTATTCTTACAAATAGCATTTTTTTCCCTTCAGGAAGTGTTCAATTTCCTTCTCATACACAAGTGGCTGACCCTCTTTTGCTCACTTTCAAAAAATAAAGAACACCTTCAGGCAGATATCATGCCTGAAAAACTTTGTTTAAAAAAAACTTTTTGCAAAGCTACATGCATTTGACAATGAGGTATTTAACATGGAAAATGTTTAACCTTAAAGTTTCAGCTATAGTTTGCTTTAATGATTCTTGAAAATGAGAGGCTTGGGAATTGACCCTAAATTTACATGATCAGTAAGAAGTGGTCCTCTCTATATGTGAGGGACAGGATACATAGAACAATGATTAGTCATCATCTATTTCTAAAAAAGGACATTTGGACAAGCCTTATGGGTAAACTACTTAAGTGACAAAATACTGAAAATTGAAATAATCAGTGGACAAGAATTTAGCTATATCCTATTAATGTTATGCAAACCCTTTTTGCAAACTTTGTTCCTCAGATATCTTCCCTTGTTAAATAAAACTTCAGAACAAAAAATGTTTGTGTGATAAATTCTGTGGATCCCATAGCAGTCTACATCTTGTGTACAGATTATATAGGGGATCTCTTTACCAGTGCTGGCTCCACGGTTTTTGCTGCCCCAAGCAGCCCCCCCACCCCCCAAAAAAAAGTTGCGATTTGCGGCACTTCAGCGGCAGCTCTACCGTCGCTGCTTCATTCTTTGGTGGCAGGTCCTTCGCTCCGAGAGGGAGTGAGGGACCCGCTGCCAAAGAGACGGACGTGCCACCCCCCCTCCGTTGGCCGCCCCAAGCACCTGCTTGCTGAGCTCTGCTCTTTAACCATCATTAAACAACCATCTCCTGCTAAGAGGTGCATAGTACTTGTTGAATTTATATTTATAAATCTTAGAACACAAAGTGAACACTTAGACTTTAAAAGTCCTAAAATTGTGCTGCAGGTTTCTCATAAATCATAAAGGTGGTCCTTGCCCCACTAAACTGTCTTAAGAACTCAGTTGGCTATTCTTTCAGGCTGGGATTTCCATATGGATGCATTAATAATGAGTTTCCAAACTATCCAGCTCCCAAGAGATTAATTGTCAATTACCCAGTAAAACTGCCCCTCTGCTTGCAAATATTTCACTTATGCTTTGGAGGCTGGGGAGTGAAGGAGAAGGGAATGCTTTTCTCCATTCATAACATAGTTGTTTTGTTTTTTCAGAATGACAACAGTTCACCAGGGGCTGGTGGGCCGGTGAAAATAACTGAAAATCGATCGAAGAAGAGCAGCTTCTTTCGATGCACGCTACTTTGATGAACTCCTAATGATAGACTGCAACACACTTAGAAGAACCTTTTCTGCTTCTTTGAAAGCACAGGGTCACAAAGCCTCAGAAATAATACCACCAAGCTGCTGCTGAGAGCTTCAATGAACGTTGACTGCGTTAAACAAAATACCAAGTGGATTTTGCTCACTAAGTCCATCAACCTGTCAGGCTCCTTTTTCTCAAATGTGGAAGCAATGAAGTGGAGACACACAAATGCAGGACTTAATTTTCTTCATTACTTTCTGTTTTAATGTCTGTTGCAAAAGCTGCTACATTTCTTTTAACTTTGCACATACATATTAGCCTTTTATTGCCTGTTACTGCACAATCTATCACTTGTGTTTGCACAGTTTATTGTCCTGTAAGTAAGTTCTTTAACAGATTTGTGCATTCTTTTTACCATTTTATTTTAAGAAGCCAGAAGGAATAGATTAAATCACATCTCCAGTAGTCTTTACTCTACACATGTGATCATGTCTGCCATATGGATATGTTTAACATAATGGGGCTTATTAAAACAAATTGGCATTTAAGAACTTGTATAGGTTTTTGTTCAGTTTTTCTCACAAATGCACAAATCCGTTCATACAGAAACTACTGCGTCTTCTATTCTGAATGTAGGATGTTTCTTTTTTACTGGTTTTTACCAAACTTAAGAGAATCTTTTTAGAGCAGAGTTGTCTTCTAAATAGATGTAGCTTTTGTCTCATTTGTTGAATGCACCCTTAAACCATGTGAATGAACCCCAGTGGTCATTCATTTTTCACCTAGTTTTCTTCTGTTAGCCCAACTCATCTGCTCCTTTGTTTTTGTTCTTGTTTCTGATGACACTTGAGTTGAAATTTTCAACATAACACAGGTGGGCATCCTAGCGATCACTTAAGTGACTTGTGCTAGCTAAGCTGAATGAGGGTATTCAAAACTCCTGGATTCTGTTCTCCAGTGTATGAATAGTAATTAGTGATGCTGAGGATGTTTGCTTCATACCTCTAAACCTTGACCCTAGCTTCCTGTGTAGTCACTATAGTTAAGTCCCATCAGTAAAGAAAATGGCACACCAAGGCTTATGATGCAATATTATGCAGCTGATACTGAATGTGTAAAGTGTTCAGTCTGCACAGGCAATTATAGAAGTTAATCATCAGAAACTGGTGCAGTGATTTAGGCTGCTACAAGCCAAGTTGAAACTTAATTGCCTTTCTCACTCCTCTGAACACCTGCAACCTAGTTTATGTATTTTATCACTTATTTGTTTTTCAAAGATCTCTCTCCATGAATGATTAAAATTGGTGCTTTAGTTTGTTGTGCCAAACTTCGACCATTGTTAGCTTTAACTACAAATTTAACAGAGTCCACCACTTTGGTTATAAGGTGCAGATGGATTGTCTTGTTGACAAACTGCTAACTTTTCTGACATGTCTGCTTGTTTCACTACAGTCACTTAACTTTGTGGTAACCACCAATCCACTGGTTAATATGTTAATGTTTCACTCTGCTTCAGTTTGGGATGTCTGATATTGAATTTGTCGTCTTGGGGTCTATCTCAAATATTTTGAAACTAATTCAGTGGCTTTCTACACATTCTCCGCACACCGCTACTTAATTACAGTTAAAGTGATCCTTGTAATTAGATTGTGAATCACAATCTCCTATTCTTACTGAGCTAGAAGGCACAGCAAAATATTTGAGGTAGCAAGAATGTTCAAAACAAAAACAACCCTAGCTGCTCTGGCCTACACTTTGCATTTTCTGGGACAGGCTAATGCAGTTAAGTTTTCTGTATGATAACAAAGTGCTTTCTATACAGCAACTGTTATGACTTCAGTTATGAATGTTAATTTTCAGTAATTTACCTCTGACTTATTTGGTGTCGTAACACATAGATTTGTATCTTGGGGTTGTCTGCAAACCAAAACTGACATGTTCTGTGGTTAGCAACTTTTACAGAATGCTTTGCTTATGTTGTATTTCCTCTGTCTTCTTTCTATTTGGTTCTGTGTATAAACAAGATTAGTCTCCATGAACTTCCTTTTGAAAGAGCCTGTAAGTGAGAGTCTATAAAGTGCTTCTTGACGCAGCAGCAAATTGGGGTATCTGCTCTGTTGTATTAAAAAGAAAAAAAGAAAAAAATCCTTGCTATTTTCTTACATTTAGCTATGCTAAACTGTACATAAATTTGAGGTAAGACCATAGGAAATTCACTTTATGCATGATAAAATGATACAGTAAATATTTCACTTTGCTTAATGTTCATATAATGCTCATCTTTCTCTATTTGTAGAAGGACTTAGTGACAGATAATTTTGTCAGTCCCCTGCTGAAACTGAAGAAATCCAGTTTCATGTGAAAACATTATGGTCTTATGGATAAGGTAAAACACATTTTTTTTGCAGCAGTATTAAGTGGTTGAGGGGCCGCACTTTATCAGTATATTAACTTTTGATAATGGTCAACATAGACCTATTTACTCATACAGTCTGTTGTCAGACATTGAAAAATGTGCTGTATTTTAGCATGTAAATCAGCTGATTATGTTTCACTGGGAACTTTTTCTAGCTATGTTTTGCTTTAGGCAAGCAGACAAATAATAACTATGTTATATCTGAGCATCAGTTGCTGGGTGCTGCAGGTTTTCCGAATACCAGTATGATTGTTTTGTGCAGTCTTTTTTGTTGTAACTTTACTCAAGACTATAATCTTAATTTTGAAAGACTCTTTAACTATACCTCAGCTGACTAATATTCTAATATCCATTAAAACGAAGGTGATCCAATTATTCATTATATAAAGCAGAAAATGTGCAGCCTGCCTTGCTCTAAAGACCTCCATTAGTCTTTAAGGAAAAGCAGGCATTTCTTTGGGCTTTGTTAGGAATAGAAGCTACTTGCTGTCAAGTTGGTTTTTTTTCCCCCACAACTCTCTTCTTCCCTCCCAGTTTGTGCAGTGTGTTCTGTTTTTTTATTTTTTTTGTTTTTTTTATTATAAATGGTGAGAAAATAGAACCTGAAAATATATGGTCTCAATGCTTTTTTCTATAGCTTTCAATCCTGTGATCAACAAACCATGCACATACAATGCTTAGTTCTTGTTGAGTAAACATATAGAATACTTGATTTGAGGTTAGTTATTAAATCTCTTGAAGTTTAATTAATGTTAAAACTTCGAAACCACATATTAAATGTAATGCAATTTACCTTTATTGAATGTGGAGGTTTCTACAGTACTAGTCAAGGTTTTTGAAAAGTGCAGTTTTATAAATGAGGTATTTCCTGTCACAAGTGCATTTCCTCTGTCTTTTGTTTGTCAAGTGAAATCACATTATTTTCACAAGCCAAAAGTGGAGGGGGTGTATTTTTGAGGGGGGAGGGAAGGGAAATTCTGAGAAGAATTCTTGGTGGGTAACAACTTGGAAGATACATCAATAGTATATAAAATGCATAAATTTGTTGCTAATTTGTGGAAATGCATCGATCATCTGATTATGTAATTAAGTGAAATTTGCCATGTTAAAGTTTAAGAACAAGCTAAAGATACTGGCTCCTTCCCTCTACTGCCCCCAAGCTGCTTGTGCCACATTACTCCTATTAATATACCTTGTATTTCAAAATGCCATGGAAAGGCAGGACTTCTCACTTTTTCTTTGTTTCCAGTGAATTTAATTATGTTAGTGCATTCCTATGGCCTTATAAACTTATATTTTGCAAATGACACTTTTACTTGGGATTACAATTATTTTAATGCAATATACAGTTACTAAATTCAGACTAAAAAGCACGGCCCTAAAGAAAATGCTTAATTTTCAAATAGAATTGTTCTACCATGTGTGTGTTTAAGCACATTTTATCACTGCTCCAAAGGCGTAATGTGAAAATCCTGCAGATATAAAGTGAACTTGTCATATTAACTTGTAAACTTAATCATTAATTGTGTACTGATACTGTGTTAAAAAAGAATGGTTTTATTATTCCATGTGAACTTTTTTTACAATAATGTGCATCTCAAATAAAATTACATAATGAAAAATATTCAGCTTCTTCTATGAAGTAACTCCATGTAATCAATCTTATGCAAGTTGCATTTCCACTCTATTCTAACACACGATTATGTTGGGGAGGGTCCAACATAACTCATGCCTAAGGTTTTGTTTAACTTCAATAAACTTCCTGAATAGCTTGCTTGCTTGCTTCTGAAATTGACTCTTTTGGGAGTAGCTTCTTCAAGAACTTCTATCCCTATACTAATTCCTTCTGCATCAGAACAAGGGGAAGTTTTAAGGTGATTACTAGGAGGGAACACTTGAGTATCTTAAAGATACGTGTTAAGCATGTGTTGAAAGCAAGATTAGACTAACACTAGTAGATGTAAAGTGGGGTGCAATCCTGCATTACCAGAGAGACAAGTGGGGTGGGGAAGAAGTGGAAAGTATTGGGCCATCTAGTCAATCTCTAACATCTGTGATTAAATAAGCTTATGCGAGAGGGGAAAAAAGTCTTTCATTCTCCAGTAGACTTTGGCATTCTGAGGCACATACAATTGACTGCCCCCAGCAAATACTAGGACTGCCCAGGCTAATTCAAATGCTGAATGAGCATTGAGGTGTCTGACAAAAGTAATTGCTAACAATTGCATTACTAGCAGTACCAAACTTGGCAATTAATACAGTTAACTTTGTCACCCGTATCTAAGCAATACACTTGTAATTTTAAACAGGGACTATTTGGGAAAGGATTGAATCTGTTGCATCAAAATGGGAAAATGAACAAACAAAAGACATCTTGTCTTAACACTTTTCTAGAATATCCGTATCCTTAGTTTTAAAACTATCTTCCCCAGAAGTCATCGCTGTTACTTCTGGTCTCCAAACTTAAAACCTCTCATGAATTCAGAGGCTGCCAATGGCATCATAACATACCCACTTATCTAACTTTTCTGCCTCCCAGCAGGGTGGATTTGATTTACCGTATATACTCGTTCATTAGCCCGTTTGTTTATAAGCCAACCCCCCAAGATAAGATGGTTAAGTAAAAATAGCAAAAACTGTACGACCTTTCATAAGCCGACCCTATATTTCAGGGGCTGGCAAACTTTGGCTCCTGGCCCATTAGGGTAAGCCTCTAGCCGGCCTGGACGTTTTGTTTACCTGGAGCATTCACAGGCACGGAACCCCTCAGCTCCCAGTGGCCGTGGTTTGATATTCAATTCAATGATTCCATGGAGTTAAAAATCATCAACTTTTGGTGTAGACCTGTTTATAAGCCGACCCCTGCTCTTTGATGTCACGTTTTTACCAAAAATATTCAGCCTATGAATGAGTATATACGGTAAATCAAATTGATTGAAATCATGATTTCAATCACTAGTCAGGAAGACTTGATTTAATCATGGATTTGTACGTAAAAGTGCATTCTTGTTGGTTGTTATAATCTCAATACATATTCTTCACAACTCAGAGATAGGTGTAGGTTTCATTTTTAGAAGGTACACTACATTTTTAAAGTAGTTTATTTTGAAACTTCTCAGATTAGTTTTACAGCTATATCAGAAAATGAATGATTGTTCGGTTATTTCATTTGCCAAAGGTAATTGAAGCAGATATTTATGAAGTCATTGGGAGGTAAACTATCTCCAATTCAACAGGTTAATCATTAATATTTGGAGGATTTTCTTGTCATACTGTATTAGGAGGAGAACATCACCAGACAGACATGTAAGTTGTTTTATTTAACTAAAACGTTATGTATTCTGGAATTTTTTCTTAACGGCAAACAAAATATTTTAACAAAACAAGCATATGAATGTTTGCATTTAGTTAAAAATTGAAGTTTTTTTAAAATCAGGGTTTGTTTCTTAAAATTTTTTAACTAAAACAGTTAAATGAAATATTAAAAAATAAAAACAAATTAAATCGACTATGACAGCCAGGTCAACAAGAGAAACTTAAAATATTGGCTTCTGCAGCTAACTCAGTCGTCTTCACCTTCATTTTCCTGCTTGTTCGTAATCTGGAAAAGAAAAAGCAGGAAAGCTTGTTTTTCAGGTCCCAGAGGATTTCTCAATTTGGAATGAATTAGTCCACAGGAAGAAAATATTCTTGCTACACCGGCAGAAGAAGCTACTGCTGTTAAAAGTGAGATTATCACTTCAACAGTCTCTGAATCCAAGTGCTTAAGTGACTTCCACCAGTTCACTGGTGTGACTTTCTTTAAAACATCATCATCAAACATATATTTTTTGAATGGTTCACTCTTATCTCAGAAGTTTATTATAGTTGGCATCATGGAGGGATGATTGCTGGATGTCCATATCAAAGCCAACTCCTCTTCTTCAGCAGTTAAGGTTTGACCCTGATGTAACGGGTTAGATCACAGAACCCCGACTTGGGAGTTGTCACCTGATGTGCCAAGACTGCTTCTGCCCTGGTTTTCCTGCCTTGTCAGCTTAGGACTTCAGTGCCCTGCCTGGTTTGAGCCAGATTCGCTAGCCTGCTGCAAACCCAGACCCAGGTCTGAATCACGTCCCCTAACAGCTGTAGGCTTACGTGAAAGCAGCTAACAGAAGTGTTCTTGACTTTAACACTCAGATGCCGAACTCCCAATGGGGTCTAAACCCAAATAAATCCGTTTTACCCTGTATAAAGCTTGTACAGGGTAAACTCATAAATTGTTCGCCCTCTATAACACTAATAGATAGATATGCACAACTGTTTGCCCCCCCAGGTATTAACACATACTCTGGGTTAATTAATAAGTTAAAAAGTAATATTAAATACAGAAAGTAGGATTTAAGTGGTTTCAAGTAGTAACAGACCAAATAAAGTAAGTCACCAAGCAAAATAAAATAAAATGTGCAAATCTATGTCTAATCAAACTGAATACAGATAAGATCCTCACCAGTTCCAGAATGCTTCCTTTTACAGACTAATCTGTTAGTCTGGGTCCAGCAATCACTGTCACCCCTTGCAGTCACTGTCCTTTGTTCCAGTTTCTTTCAGGTATCTTTGGGGGTGGAGAGGCTCTCTTTAGCCAGCTGAAGACCAAATGGAGGGGTCTCCCCTGCCTTAAATAGACTCTCTCTTGTGGGTGGAGATCCCCCTCCTCTCTCCTATGCAAAGTCCAGCTACAAAATGAAGTGTTGGAGTCACCTGGGCAAGTCACATGTCCACGCATGACTGAGTTCCTTACCAGCCAAGCCACATTCCTAGGAAAGCCTAGATGTGGATTGGTGTCTCCAAGTTCATTGTTGGCTTAAGTGTTTGTTTCTTGAGTGGGCACTTACTGAGAATAGTCTGAAACCTTACTGAGAATAGTCTTTTCTCAGGAAGCGACCAACTGCTTCACTACAGCCTACTTAAAATCAAACAAGTATGTAGCCAGTATTTATAACTTTAAATACAAAAATGATACATGCCTACAAATAGGATTAATAGGTTCAGTAGATATTACTGTTCACCTTTACAGAGATATGTCACATGGCATATGCAGCATAAAATACATTCTAGTTACGTTATATACATACACATAAGAAAATTTCCATAAAGCCTTATGGGGGGCACCGACTGTCACACCTGGTACCTAGTACTGAGAATATTTTCAAGAAAATGAGCCGGAGATAGTGCTTGTCCCATTCGTTTTTTAATGCTTGTAATTTAACTCTGTCATTGCATATTTCTCTTTTTAAGATCTCACTCAGTTCCTTCCAAATCTCAGTGTCAGCAGCAAAACAGCTATTTCCCTGTCCCTCCCTTTTCACGTTTATCTCCAGACTTCTTCTCCTTGTCCAGCTCTATTCCGCCCCAAACAATAGTCTAGTCATTGAACTTTTTGGAACTTTGCACTGTTAGAGATAGGTAAAGGATTGACTCAGTACACAAATTTGCAGAGGGACAATAGGGTTGAGGTCTGTTATTTCTCACATCTATATATATTTATTTATTTAAAAACATTTTTGCTGTTAACAAGCATGTTACTCTGGAGACACACATCCACAATTTGAGAATTGCAAAATTAAGCATCTCTGATGGTATCTTCTAGACTGAGCACTGAGTCCCAAAGATTAACCTAAATAATTATACAGAAGCCTCTGGAACCCCATAAGTTTGGGTCCCTAATCCATGAACTATCAGAACTATCATTTACACAACTTTTCTTAAACATTACATGAATATATTGTCTCATACTACAGAATTAGAATTTATAATCCCTATTCCATGATGAGATATCTTTGAGCTATAATGTATCTTTATCTTTAGATAGGTTTTTTCCCCTCAAAGCATTTTATCATTGATTTTTATCCACCCTGCCTCCCAGTTTGATTCTCACTTGGACACAGTGCTAATACATATCACTACTACATCTTTACCATTGAATGCAACTAGTGCCTAAACAGTTGCTAAAATCTTCCTTCTATATGTCCTTTGTCCCTATTGCTCATTCACACTATTACTTTTTGTGAATCACCTAAAGACTGGTTAGAGAACTGCAGACTTAGGGCCAGGTTTTTAGATGTGCTGATAACTTGCAGCTCCTGATTTGAACTGGTTTTTGATGCTCAGCACTTCTGTTAATTGAGCCCTTTGTCTCAAGTCTTGGAGATATAATAATAAATTGTTCATGTTCCCCCTACAACAGCATCTTATTTTGTGTGTATTCAATTATTCTAGTCTTTTCCCTCCATCTCCAATAGAAACTTTTACCCTTCATTTAAAGAAAATGGTGCTTTTATTAAAATTTGTGTAAATTCTCATCTTTATTTGGGTAAAATTAGTTTCACTTTAGTGCCTCATCTGTCCCAAAAAAGATGACTTCTTTGAGTAGTGTCCCTATGGATGCTCCACTGTAGGTGTGTTTGCATCCCCGTGCTGCTGATCAGAGACGTTTGGTAGCAGTCTGTCCTGCCTGCACATGTGCTGCTCCCCACCTGCCACGAGACTAGCCAGCGCACGCAGACAATCCCACCTTAATTCCTTCTGAATCGCCCCTGGCTAGAGACAGAGTTATAGCTGTCCATAGAGTAAACTTTTTAGA